GGCCGAATCCGTCTAATGTGTATTCCGTTTCGCCAATCATGTACATCAAAACCTTGTTGAATCCATTATCATGCACGATAGCTGTTCCAGATACATCAGCGTTTCGCTCATCTACTACATGATAACTGTACTGCCTGGGCGGGGCTAAATTCTCCACGACCCCACCACCTTTGACAACTGAGATGATTAAGTCTTGGCTGAAAACGGATGTGGGTTCGAGTAGAAACTCGTGTGTAATACCGAGAAGGTCGACATGCATGTGTACCTTGCCCTCCTTCATGAAAGCATGTGTTTGCGCAACTTGGGGAACAATTCCATCCTTCAAATACATCTCGCCGTATTGTTTGACGAGCGAATCTACATTACTTGGGAACGCAGCAGAAACAGTGGCAAAGAATACCAGGCACAGAGCGTATATTAATTCCGAACCAAACATGATGTCAGTTTTTGAATAACAAGATATTAGTAACAATATTTGTGAAGAACTCAATCCATCATTGAGGTGTTTATATAGCTGTTACCGCTAAGACTTTTATGCTCGTTATTTGCTATGGAATGCGTGTACCCCCCCCCCCCCCCACCCCACGATACAACAAATGCTTCAGAACTTACTCGCATATACATGGATGAATTGTCTTGTCAATAAACCCCCGTACAGATCATGGGCTCATGACAGATGGCGAAAACCCACAGTGGAATGTAAATTCTTTATTTCGTATGAATTCTACATGACCAAGTTTACTAAACCTTTCAACACTTGTAGTCTTGTGTATGTACTATTTTAAGCGGCTAAACCTCGGGGATTCTCGAATCCGATTCTCCTCTTCAAACTTGAGACTTCACAAGTAAATTACTCATCGACATTCTAAGAGTGCTCTTGAGGTTCTAATATAACTTCTTATTGGTAAACTGTTGGATGATATACCGTGAAGAATTTACATACATACTACTTTTTCATTTCTGGAATTTTATTTTAACAGAAAACCACAGCTGCTGTATTAGAGGTTGTAAACAGCTGTTGTTGCAACTGCTGTGCTGTAGACAGTAGACGTTTGTAGTCCTGTACAGTTTCAAGTATTTATATTACTTTTATGGAGAGGTTTGACCGTTGGCATTTCATATACTGTATAAAATTCAAATCTGCTGTCATTTGAGAGTTGAGACTGAGTCGTGGTGGAATTGTATATGTATTCCCAACTCGGCTCCTGTCAGGAAGGCAGAAACTCAAAAAAAAAAACGACATCTAGAGAGAAGGAGCTGACTTGATTAGTGCGTTAAACATACATAATAAGCCGCGAAGGGTTTGAAAAATTGTATATCCATGTCTCTGGCGGCTGGCGCTCCCTCACGGCCACTCAGAGGTGATCTGGATCATTCATAATGTAAAAGATGTGTGTTTTCAAACAAGAACAAAAGAACTGAAGATATACTGAACGATCCGAAGAGATTTTACTATGAAGTAGTGTATACTTGAAATATAATTGGCTATTTGAAATCATTTGACGCATCTGTTCTGCGTAGCGTCATAAATTCATATGGCATGCAGTAGGAGAATGGTAAAAGTTCTTTCTGCATATACGACTATAAACTGTATTGCGATCGCAACATAAATAAAATGAGGCTAATACGAAACTCACGATAGACGGTGCATAATAGGCATATAATTGATCTAGATACATATTTTATACACTTGTGCACAGTCATATTTGGAACATAATAATGAAGCCAACAGTATGCACATATTGACACTCGACATAAAAAAGATCAGGACATGCGGTCCGGCACAGCTGGCACCATGACTTGTCTGGTTCAGAAAAATAGTCCGGTAATTAGCCTTCGCTATGGGTGGTGAATTTCTTTTGTGAAAGATCAGCTTTTCTGTTTTCAGTGACATATCTGATATCTCGCATCCTACATTTTACTGCAGATGAAGTACTTATGAAGAAGAGACTCTTGGTACATATAAAGTTATCTTTACTTTAATAAATGCCATATGTACAATTTCCAGAAGACTATGAAAATGTTAGTTTTTAAGCAGCCGAAATGTACAAGTACTGTCTCATCATCTTAAGTAAGTCGTAAAGAGGGACACATCAACAGCCTTGTAAACATTTGTGCATGATTGATTTTGGTTATGTATCCCCGTCTTGTATGCCTCTACCTTTCAAAGATACAAAGGATCATGGTTGTGTATTAGCGAAAGCGATCTCCAATCGAGAGCGCAACAATATTACAATAGATAAATTGTATAAGGAGTAAGAGGGAACTTATCAGCTAATGCTGCCACATAGATTTTTTATGTATATATACATGATAGAAACAAGTGGACCGTGCGTCAATATATACATGTCTATGTGTAAGCCCAGTACATTGAGCATTGTTCTGATATATATATATTATATATATA